GCCCCTGGTGTCACCGGCACGGCCTCTGCCCCACACGGGCCCTGCAGCCTCTCTCGTCAGCCCGACACAGGCCAGCAGGGCTGGGGGCGAGGGCGAGGGCGAGAAGGAGGACCGTCCAGGCACAGGCCCCATGCCCAGCACTGCACAGATGGACACAGACACACAGCGTCACCACGAGGACTCCTGGGTCCACGCTGCCACGGCTGCGATGCTAGCAGAGGCTGCTCCACCCCCACCCTGGCGCTTGTGGTCTTAGTAACTGAAGGGACTGCAAAATCCCTGGTTGCCTCCTTCCTTCTACGGGGACTGGAGCTGGCTGAGCTCTGCTGCCTTCAGTCGTTATTTTACCAGCACCCCCTCGGCACGGGGCTACCCTACACCATCCCCGACTGACACTTGTCCAGCTGCTTTAAAACCTCCAATGCCCCAGGCAGCTCAGTCACAATTTTCTGCCCAAATCTGAGCTCCCAAGCAATTCTACTCATTATTTTCTACAACTCTGGCAAAATGACCCTTCTGGGGCACCAAGTCCACCTGCATCATCAGGTGACTTGTCTGCTTTGGCTGCACTGCCAGGCGCATCTGAAAATCATCACCGGTGCTCAGGTCACACTAAAAAGCTTGACAAGACTAGGAGTGTAGGGAGACCTGTAACAGGCTGCACAGATGTGCTCCCTGCGCTCGTGGGCATCTGGCCAACTGACATAAGACAGACCCTAACTAACCTCATTACAGGCAGTCCTGGACTTGCAACGTTTTGAGTTACAACGTTTCGCACTTACAGCCTTTATAAATTGACACCCTGCTTCAACTTTACACCAGTTCCAACTTACAACGCTTGATTCGATGCAATGCCATGACAGCGAACAAGTTCGCTGCGCCGCTCCTCTCCCTGGAGAACGTCTGTCCAAACTTCCTTGGACACTTTCTTTAAGAAAGCAGACGAGACTCCAGAAAAACCTGCAGCCAGGACCCCTGAGAAGACTCCAGCCAAGAGCCCTCCAGCAAAGTCACCTCAAAGAAGTCCTTCAAATCAATATGACTGCTATTTACGATATAAATACATTAATGTAGCTATATTACTCATCTATAATTGATCAAGTACAAAATTCTGGGGTTTTTTTGGTGAAAATAGGGTATGGGGCCTTGGTTCAGGAACCAATCCCCCATTTATAACATTGTTTCTTCTGAGAAAATTGGTTCTGAGTTGCAACATTTCTGTGGTTTTCAGGAACCAGCTGTGCCTAAGTCCGAGGACTGCCTGTATGGAGTCCATGCACCGAGGGATAACATCAGTCCGTGGCTCCGATTTGCAAGCTGGTATCTGACACGGTAGAAAAGAGAGCGAGAGACCCCTTGCTGGCGGGGTGGAACCCTCCACACGCGTCTCCAGGGCAAAGTCCTGCCAGTAAAACACTTCTCCCCACCCTCCCATGACTCACGCTCTGGCTGGGTTTCTTGGTCTCTCCCAGATCCCCCCCCACCCCCTCCAGGGCTCTGCTAGTCAGCACATGGATGGCCTGACTCATGCCTCAGTCTGGCAGTCAGAGCTGTTCTCCTCCCCCTTTTTGGGTGGAACAATGCAAGGAGGCGATACCAGGAGCTGGAGTCAAACTAGGCTCCAGGAGACAGCTGTGCTGAGCTAAGCTCCAGGCCTCGCAGGTCTGCTGCTTTCCCTGGAGAGGTTCAGAGCTGGGTCCCATCGTGCCCGCCCTATCAGGGACGTAGGGGATGGGAACACGGCCAAGGGCTGACATGATCCTGGAGGAGCTGCGATAACAGCAACAATGGCTCTCACGCAGCAGCACTCTCCGCCAGCCAGCGGGGCTCAGTGCCCTTCCCACGGGCTCCGTAACATCAGCAGCCAGGGAGCAGAGGCCCAGGAAGGGGAAGAAGCTGCAGCCCCCTCCCCGAGTCCTAGCAGTGGGCCAGGCGGGCCAGGAGGGGATTGCTATGCCTGTGCTGGCCAGAGCAGCCCTGCAGTTGCTGGGCCAGTCCTGCTGGCCCCATAGACTCGCTGAATCCTTTCCGCCACAAAGCACACAGAAGAGCCAGGCTGGCCAGGCCCTCAGAGACTCCAGTTCCCAGCTCCAGGCAGGAGCATCCCTGTCTGAGCCAGCCCAGACAAGTGCTTGTCTGACCTGCTCCTAAACCCGGTGGGAACAAACCCTGCTACACAGTCACTGGGCCCAGTGCATCCAAAACCCCAGGTGCCACCAGCTGACAGCATCCTGCCCCTGCCAGGACAGGAAGGAGGTTGTTAATGCCCTTGAGAGCGCCCAAGCAGAGGCATCTCCCTTCGCACACACCCTTCCATGCTGATCTGACCAGGGGGCAATCCCTTCCTGCCCCAGTGCAGCGCGGGGCTGAGCCTGTGTGCGGGGGCAAGACCCTCCAGCCAGGACCCTGCGGGGTTGGTGCAGCAGGAGCGTTGGCCCAGCCCCATCCCCAACCCCAACCCCAACCTGGGCTGCAGCCAAAACTTGGTGCTGCTGAGGAAGATGAAAAACACTTGACATCTGTAGCAACAGGAGGCGGAAAATGTCCTTCTGGGCCCCACGGGGCAGTCAGAAAAGCCCAGAGGCCTGGGAAACATCAGACCCCTCCGCTCTGCCCTGCAGCCTGGGACCACAGCACAACCTAAATGGAGAGCCAGGTTTCCTCTGCCCGTCATCCTATCCCCTCCTTGAACCTGTCCTAGCTCCTTTAATCACCTTTCATAAGACAGCCGGACACTGCACATTTGGAGAGGAGGGCACTGGACAGCTGGAAAGTACATCTTGCCCAGCGGGCCTGGAGTCAGCTTGCAAGCGCATCAGAGAGACCAACGAGAGGTGCCTCGATTATGGGATGCAAGTGTCTCCACACAGAGAAAATAATGGAGACTGGAGGCTCCTTAGCCCAGCAGGGACAGGCAGAGCGAGACCCGCTCCCCATGGGAAATAAGGCAGAGGCCTGTGGCACAGCAGGTGCTTGTCCCCTGGGCGCGCTGGGCTCCCCACTCCTCCGTGCTGCCATGCCTCGCTTGGCTGGGCTTTGCCCAAACTCAAGTCCCTGAGCACAGTGCGGGGGCCACTGAGTGGAACCGAGAGCCCCAGATGTTCAGGTCGGATGAGGTGACCTGGGACCTCTTCTGTGTGCCTGGGTTGGGGGAGGAGACGGACAGACAGACGGACAAGGGAAGAGCTCCTAGAAGAGCAACAGGCATCCAGGGGGCAGAGCGACAACAAGAATATAGCGGGGTCAAGCAGACCCGGCTGTGGTCAGTGAGCAGAGGCCCCCAACTCCTCCTGAAGCCCCTGGGAGTGCCACCCCATCCAAGGCAGAGCCCAGTCCTAGGAACGCAATGTGTGACCAAGCACTGAGCAAGGAGGGAAGCCACCACCTGCCAACGGCTGAGATGCACAAACATCAAGAAGGGAGGAGTGAGTTACTCATGCTGGGCTGGACCTACTGAGATGGAGAGAGGACCCTGAGCAAAGGGAGAAACCGCCTGCTGGGAGACAGGCTGGCCCCATCGCTGGGGCACCGGAGCTGGGTGAAGTCTAGCAAACGTCCCCTTGTCTCCCAGCAGTGCAGCATGGGGACCCAGCAGGCAGCTCGCGGGGGGCGAACCGGGACAAGCCATAGTGCAGGATGCAGCAGAGAAGGGCCAGGCTAAAAGGAAGGAAGTGTGAGTCTGAGGGTAAATTCAGGCACAAGTAGCAGAGTCAGTGGGGCGGAGGGACTGAGCCCTGGCTCTAAGAGGCGCAGGGAGAAGACGCGGGGCAGGGAGAAGGACCGGCTGTTCGCTCAGGGAGTGGTGCCATCTGCTTTGGTGCATGCGACGGCCATGGCCACGAGGCCAATTGGGATCAGGGCCACAGCTCATCTGGAGATGTCTGAGATACCCACACAGCCAAGGCAGGAGATGGGGACTGAGGAACAAGTGCCCTTGCAGGAGGCAGGGAACACCCAACTGGAAGGGGAGCACTGCACCCCTGCACCGGCTTCTTCCTAGCAACTTCCCCTGGCTGCCCGACCCTCCATCCACCCGTTCAACCTGTGCACAGAGGAAGGGGCCACGAAAGCCTCCCCCAACCTCCTGCATACCAAGCTAGGAAGAAAGTGGAGGCAGCGTAAAGGCTGTGAGGCTGTCAGCCATCCCCTGCAGACTAACCTGCCCCCTTCCTGCTCAGGCCGGGGATGAGCAGGACCCCCCCAGGGGTGCTCACATCTGCAGCTCCATTGCATCCCCTAGGAACAGACACACGGTCCCAGCAGGACTCCAAGAGTCAGATCCAGGTCCAAGACCCGTCGCGGCCCAGTCGGACCAGAGGAGAACAGAAAACCCATCCTGAGGCCTCAAGAAATGCCAGCCAGGTCCAGCCCCCTCCCCACTCCCCAGCCCAATGGCCTGTATCTCACAGTGAAACAGTATTTAGACAGGGTCTGTCCAGACTCAGCCACCACCTGTCCCTCCCCCAGCAGCTTCTAGCGTTCCCAGTTTGGTGCCAGAGCGAAGGCGGCAATCAGAAATAACAGCCAGTGGGTAACCAACAGATGCAGGGGAGAGCAGGCAGGAAACAACATAAGAAACACAGGAATTATGAGGACGGAGGCTTAGTAAGTGAGGCAAAAACCATCGGGCAAAATGCCTGGTTTGCAGGATTAGGGATTACGGTCAAGTTTTGCTCACGTAGGCTAAGA